ATATAAATAATTTGTTGGAATACTTTTTTTTATTTATTTTAAAAAATTTGTTGAAGACGACTCAACACCAATTTTAGATAAGAAACAAACAATTAGCTTTAAATTATAAACCATTAAATAAGAATTGAATTAATATATTTTCATATATTTTGTTTATTTTGGTTAAACATCTTCAAAAAAATTTGAAACTAATAATTAAAATTCAAAACCTTTAAAAAATCACATTAAATTTCTAACATTTTTTTCTATTTTAAAAGATCACGATATTCATTATATTACTAAAATATTTAATACATTTAATAAAACTATAAAGGTACTTGTGCAATGCATCGAGACATATTTCTATTTCAATGTTTCGTTTTATTTTTTATCCATGTCAATAAAATATGATTTTATGTGGTTTTGAGAAAGCGCTTTATTTTTTAATAAAATATAATTTAAAATATCATATAAAATTTGCAAAAAATATATCAATATTAATTTTTTATTATAATTTAATTTAACTTAATTTGGGTTTAATAATTTTTTTATACATATAATAATCAAATATTATGTTAGAACTTAATAATTATCCTAATTATACTTTAGATTTTTTATATTTTAAAATTAGATGTTTATCCTTTATTTGATTATGTTTATCTACAGTTAGTTACACGAATTCAAACATAAAGTTTTAATAAGTTGTACTTATGCACAATTTACTTGTAATATTGAATTTTAAGTAATATGCATCTACAAACTGTACTTCATGCATAAAAAAATGAGTTTTAAGAGTTTTTGTCAAATGCTTTATAATATAATATAGATATTGTTTTGTTTTTTATAAACATATAATTTCAAATATCTCAATAATCATGTTTTAGTTTAGAGAAATGAAGGTTTTTTTTTATGTTGATTGAGTTGAAAATTTTAAAATAAATCTGTTTAGTTTTGATTATAGGTTCGTGTAAAAAGATTAATCAAACTTGAACGTAGTGATATTATATTAATACTATAAGGGTACTCGTGCATGCAGTGAGATACATCTTGGTTTTAATGTTTTATTTTATTGTTTGTCTCTATCTATTATATGTTATAATACGGTTTTATGTAGTATTGATAAAGTAACAATAATTTTATTTTTGAAATAAAATATAAATTTGAAAATATCATAAAATTTTGAAAAAAATATATCAATGCTAGGATTAAATATTAATTATTTAAAAGTTATTGTTTTTTTGTAATTTCTTTAATTCATTTTTTTTTTTGTTATTATTTAATTTAAGGTCAATAACGAAGTTTTTTATTTTTAGTTAATAATATAATTTTTTTATAAAAATAATAATTAAGTTATGTTTATCTTAATTTTTATTTTTGATTTTTTTATATTTAAAATTAGATGTTTATCGTATATTTAATTATGTTTATCTATAATTGATTACAAAAATTCAGAAATGAAGTTTTAATAAATTATACTTATGAATAATTTATTAAGGAGCCGTTTACTAACACTTACTTTGATAAGTGAACATTAAGTTATATTATTTTACCGAATTAATATAGTAAGGATCATGAATCTTATTCGATAAAAACGAGACAAAGACCAAGAGTCTTACCCGGTAAGTGAGGGCAACAACTCTTACCATGGTAGACGCTTATCGGGTAAATTTTTGCATACGATACCGTTTTTGTGGATTAAAATCTCACCCGGTAAATAAAAGATAATGCTAAATTTTACCGATAAACACTTACCGAGGTAAGTGTTTGATAGACAACCCCTAAATTCAACATCACCATTCATTTGCAACCTATTTATTCAAAAACATGCATCTCTCGAAGCTATTTTAATATGATTGTAAATTGATTTAAAGATCACCAGATGCAAACAATTTGACCCCAAAATTTGTTTGACATTTTTGCCCCTCTCACTCTACTATAAATGTGGGTAATCTATTTTATGTGGAACAGACAAGAATATAGTGGAACAAGCTTGTTCCACCCCTACTCCATGGAAGAGAGTGGAACAAGGTGGAACAAATATGTGTTTTACCAATATAACCTCAAAATAAAACTTAATTTTATTCTAAAACATCAAATATGTCTTCTTTTTTACATTTTATTCATTTTTAAATTTTTTTATTGTATTTTATGTTTATTAAACTTTCATTTTACTGTCCTCAAAATATTATTTTTATACAGTTTCTATATTTTTATTAATTTATGTAATTTATTATATATTAATAATAAAAAATAATGTAGAAAAGAGATAAAAACTAAAAACTAAAAACTACATAAACTTTTTATTTGGTGTCATTTTAATTGTTTTGACGAAAACTTTCTAATGATATATTTTGTTATAAAAAATAATCTATTTATGATTAATTAATTACATAAGTTAATTAAAGTAAACAATTCATCATATGTAAATTGGTCATTTTAATTGTTTTCACGAAAAATTTATAATGATATATTTTGTTATAAAAAATAATCTATTTATGATTAATTAATTACATAAGTTAATTAAAGTAAACAATTCATCATATGTAAATTGGTCATTTTAATTGTTTTCACGAAAAATTTATAATGATATATTTTGTTATAAAAAATAATTATTCTATTATAATTTAATAAATTACATAAATTAATTAAAATAAATAACTCATTAGGGATAAATTGATCATTTTACTTGTTCTGTTATGTTTAGTTTTATCTTACCAAACGTTGAACAGTATTTTCATCCTATCCTATTTTGTCTGAACATCAAACACACCCATAATAAATTTCAAAGGTTCGTTTTATTGATTGTGAGTTTCCACTGAATCATCTCCTTCTAACCTGCTTGAAACTCTGAAATGATATGTATGCAACAATTTACCCTATGAGCACTTACCCGGGTAAGAGTCGGCACCTTTACTTACCGAGTAAGACTCTCCATCTTTATCATTGCTCTTATCGGGTAAGATTTTTTACTCTTATTATGTTCATCATATAAGGAAAATTACCCGATAAGCACTTACCATGTAAGGGTTTAGTAAACGGCCCCTTCATTTGGTTTTTTTTTTTTTTTTTGTTCCTTTCAAGGGTGAGACTAGAGGTGTGCATAAGATCAATTGATCTGATTGTTACCAACCGATTCAATTAGATTTGACCGGTTATAATTGGATATCCAATTGTATTTGGATCGGATATGATTGAAATTCAACATACAATTTGGATTGATCGGTTCCTAGATGGCAATCTAAAATCAACCGAACCGAACCAACTAACATCCAAATAACCATTCAGTTATCCATCCAACTATCATCCAATTCATTTGTCTTAAATTTGCTTATATCGGAATTTGTATTGTGTCGGTTTTAGAATTTCTAGTCTCACTTGTGTTGGTTTTAACACGTATTAAAGTAAATCAATCTGCTTCATTGTTGGGAAATTAGATAGAATTAACATGCTTGATGAATCCGATTCGATAATCCATTAGACGTCGGATGGATCAAATGAATATCCAATATACGGAACCGAACCAATCTAATCACCAATTGGATTGGATTAGATCGGTTAACAAAATCCAAATCTAATGAATGATTAGATAGGTTTGGTTTTCATCACATCCAATGGATGTCAACCAATGAATAGGCGTAGGTGAGACCATATAATGTAACATAAAGAAGTTTTCATGACCATCATCATGGTCATTTTCATCATTAAATATATGCTCATATTTCCAAATATAGATATACAACGATATACCAAAAAGTTCATATTGTTCTGCATATTTTCAGCAACGACGTTAATTGATCAATATTAATCGATCTTTGTTTCTCAATCGATCCTTACCAAATCAATACCCACCTTTCTCAACTGACGCATTTCAATAGGATTTAAATGTGTTAAATACCGTCAATGACATATTTTCGTTTAAATAAATGCTAATTGTATAATGTAAATTTTGTAATGATGATGAATAAATATGTGAAATTGTTTAAATTTAGAAGTGAATTACGGATTTGGTTCTTGTGGTATGCAAAAAAATCATGACTAACGTCCCTAAACTTGGTTTATTATGGTTTTGGTCCACGTGGTCGTCATTTTTTCATGCCTATGGTCCTTGTCACTGACAAAATTCATTAGTCTGTTAACTAAAAAATAAAAAGGCCAAAATACCCTTATTTTTATCCTTTAACAAGTATAGAAGATATATATATAGAGAGAGAGAGAGAGAGAGATAAGTTATTATGCAATCTTTTACATTTGTACAACTCAATCTCAACCGTTCATTTAATTTGATGAATATGTCATTTCATAATTTTTTTTGATTGTTTTATAATATAAAGTGTTGATCATAATTAATGAACTCTAGTCATCTTTCATAAATATTCAAATCATAATAAACGAACTCTTATAATTTTCATAAATATCTCAATTAATTGGGTTGCATTAGTTGTATAAATGGACATAGTTGCATTTGAAATATACTCTATATATATAAACCACGAGTCCACCATCAACACCCAACGAAGACACATGAATTCAAAAACAAAAAATAATATGACATCACCAAATAAAACACTTATATATTCACTCAATAGTTATTGAATAAGATGGGTACACCGGTTCCCCAATAAGACGGGTCTCATTCCTATACCTATCAATGATTTGTTGAAAATTCAAACTTTAGTCTCTGTCAATTTTGAAATTACGGTTTTCAGGGTTTATAATTAATTATTGTCTTCATCCTTATAATTTAATATTTTTTACTTTTTTCTTCCTTGTAATTTTCAGTTTATTTATATTTTAGCCTACCATACTTGAAAATAATAAATACTCTCAGACATGAAAATAGAAATAAATTACAAAACATAAGCATAAAAATCATAATTTATAAATTAAATTATAGGGACGAAATCTGTAATTTTCAATAAACCTAAAGGACTAAAAACGTAATTTTAAAAAATTGATGCATCCTCTTTTGATTCCGAGGGAACTGATTCCTTCCTCCCACGATACCAAATCTATCCCCTCCCTTTCTCGCTGTCTCTCCCTCCCTACCAAGATAACTACATCGACTTCAATTTCATCTAAAACCCTAACCCTAGATTCTCCATATCCAATTCTTTTCGATCCCAAATCGTTCTCAAGAATTTGCTGAATGAAAAGGGAGATCCCCTAAAAGATAGGAGGTTCGTGAGCCCGAATTTGCTCACATCATGAACCTCGCACCACAATCATCGTTCACCGCCTTCAATGATGATCACACCCTCTCCCTACCACCGTCGTCCCCCGGCGATGAAAATTTCGAAACGACATGGTATGGGAACATACAGTACCTCATCAACATATCTGCCGTCGGCACCGTCACCTGCGTCCTCATCTTCCTCCTCCTCAAGCTCCGAAGCGACCACCGCCGCATGCCGGGCCCCACTGCCATTCTGTCAAAGCTTCTGGCAGTTTGGCATGCCACTGGCCGGGAGATCGCCCGCCACTGCGGTGCTGACGCAGCTCAATTTCTCCTTATCGAGGGCGGTAGCTTTTCGCTCATTGTATTGATTGCGGTTCTCTCCGTCACAGTTCTGTTGCCGCTGAATCTTTACGCGGGAACGGCATCTATGGTGGATCAGTTCTCGATGACTACGATCAATCATATTGCGAAAGGTTCGGGTTTACTTTGGGTTCACTTTGTGTTTGTTGTTTTTGTTGTTGTTTTGGTTCATTATGGGATTAATGAGATCGAAGGGAGGTTGAGAATCACAAGGTTTAGGGATGGATATGGAAACCCTAGTGACCCTAGTACTGCTAATTCGTCGGCCATATTTACCTTAATGATACAAGGGATACCCAAAAACATAGGGCCTGAAAGGGATTCCTTAGTGGAGTATTTTCAACATAAGTACCCAGGAAAGGTTTATAAAGTTATTGTCCCAATGGATTTATGTGCTTTGGATGATTTGGTCACGGACTTGGTTAAAGTTAGAGAGGATGTCACAGAATTAGTAAATAAGATGGAATCACAAGCTTTGTTCTATGAAGATGCAAGTTATGGAATCCTAGTGGATTTTCATGATGGATTGAGGGGGAAGTTGTCTGCTTTGTGGCAAGGACTTAAGGATTTATGGAGGCGGATCAATGATGAACTGGGGTTTTCAGATGACGAGAAATTGAGAAAATTGCAGGAACGTAGAGCTGATTTGGAGATGGAAATGGCAGCTTATAAAGATGGGAGAGCAAAGGGTGCTGGAGTTGCGTTTGTGGTATTTAAAGATGTTTACACCGCTAATAAGGCAGTTCAAGATTTTCGTAATGAGAAGAAAAGACGGATAGGCAAGTTTTTCTCAGTCACGGAGTTGCAACTCCAGAGGAACCATTGGAAGGTTGAAAGAGCACCATTAGCAACTGATATCTATTGGAACCATCTGGGATCTTCAAAGTTATCTCTGAGGCTTCGAAGAGTGTGTGTGAACTCATGCCTGTTATTGCTACTTTTATTTTGCAGTTCTCCTCTTGCTGTAATCACCGCCCTTACTAGTGCTGGGAGGATTATTAACGCAGAAGCGATGGATAATGCTCAGTTATGGTTGACTTGGCTACAGAGCTCAAGCTGGTTAGCAACTATAATATTTCAGTTTTTGCCAAATGTTCTTATTTTTGTGAGCATGTATATAGTCGTCCCTTCAGCTCTTTCATATCTTTCCAAGTTTGAGCGCCATCTTACTGTTTCTGGTGAGCAAAGGGCTGCACTTTTGAAGATGGTATGCTTCTTTCTGGTAAACCTCATTCTTTTGAGGGCCCTTGTTGAATCATCCCTAGAAAGTGCAATTTTAAAGATGGGTAGGTGTTATCTGGACGGAGAAGATTGTAAAAGGATCGAACAGTATATGAGTGCTTCTTTCTTGTCAAGATCATGCCTTTCTTCTGTTGCATTTCTCATCACAAGCACTTTCTTGGGGATTTCTTTCGATTTATTGGCACCAATACCTTGGATTAAGAAGAAACTTCAGAAGTTCAGGAAGAATGATATGCTGCAACTTGTGCCAGAACAAAGCGAGGAGTATGCCCTTGAAGAAAACGAAGATTCCGAGGGCCTTGAGAGACCATTAATATCTCCAACTAATGGACTTTCACCTGGCTCTCCTCCAAATGGTGGTGCGGATTTACATGAACAAGATCTTTCTGAATATCCAATCAGCAGGACCTCACCTGTGCCCAAACAGGCATTTGATTTTGCACAATACTACGCCTTCAACTTGACGATTTTTGCCCTTACCTTGATTTATTCTTCATTTTCTCCTCTTATCGTCCCTGTGGGTGCAATCTATTTCGGCTACAGGTACGTGGTTGACAAGTACAACTTTCTGTTTGTCTACAGAGTCCGGGGATTTCCTGCTGGAAATGATGGGAGGTTGATGGATACGGTATTGTTTATCATGAGGATCTGTGTTGATTTATTCCTTGTCTCAATGCTCTTATTCTTTTCGGTTAGAGGGGATTCCACGAAGTTGCAAGCCATATTCACCCTTGCAGTTTTAGTAGCGCATAAGCTTTTACCATCTGAGAATGATGGATTTCAGCCAGCATTATTGCAAAGCATACAAACTGTCGAGAATGTTATAGATGGGCCCATCGATTATGAGGTGTTCTCTGAACCTAAATTTGAATGGGATACGTATCATTCATGATTTGCTCATCGACGCAAATTTATAGACTTACTTTCTGGAGACGTTGTACAGATATATTCATTTGCATATGAAAAGTTCCGTTACTTTTGTATTCTTGTAGTTCAGTAAAAGTTCTTGATTCCTAGGGGCCGTTTGGTTCGCGGAATTCGAAGGAATTCGATGGAATTGGAATGATAAATTCCTTTGACCAAATTCCATTCTTTGTTTGGTTAATATCTTGAAATGGATGGAATCCTTCAAATTCCAATGAATTCCACAAGTTAAGGAATTCATCATTCCTTAGCATAATGGAAGGAATTGAATTCCATCAACACCCACAACGACCATGCTACTACTGTTTGTGATGCCCCACCCCTAACCCCCCACTACCACCACCACACCACTACTGTCACCGCCACCCACCCTACCCCACTACTAACCATCATGCCATTACTGTTGTCATCACACCCACCCACCCTCGGTCACTCACTGCACATCCCTGCTACGACCATACTACTACCGTTACTGTCACGCCCCTAACCTAACCCCCACCACTACACCATTATTGTCGCTGTCACAGCTG